TTTAGAAAAATCAATTACTGGCTTCAAATCTTGGTCTTTCTCCTGTTCTGCTTCGATATATATATATTTGGTTCCACTTCACCATCATTAACTCTTTCAGTCGGCTTGACTTCAGCTTGATGACACCTGGTTAGTTCAACCTCTCTTTTGCAGCAATGTCTCCAGTCATTTTCGCAGGGTCTTCGACTCAGTCCATCGGCATTACCATGAGATTTTCCCTCTCTGTAATCAATATCATAATTATACTGGTCTATCTTTACGATCCAATGTGCCAGTTGTCCCTTTGGGTTCTTTAATGATCTTAACCAGCGTAACGCAGCATGGTCTGTCCTGATGGTAAACCTTGCACCATAGAGGTAAGGATGGAAATATGTCTGACTCTTTACTAGAACCAGTCTAGATATGTTGTATTGGTTGTGGTACCCCCACTCTACCATGGGAAAGATCCTGACCAGCTAACATATCTCCAATAAATGATGTGGCCCTCTTTATTCTACTCAATTTAGTGACACATGCTTTCAAGACGGGTGAATAGCATACCTTGTTCAGATGTGGTGTGGTCTCCTATGAGTGTGTTCAACTCTGGACTTAAAGTCAGGTTTCCATCAAGTAAAAATGGGTGAAGCAGATAGACCCAAGACAGCATTTAGTTGTGGCCAAGGTCTCTGGCAATACCGAGTGTTGCCATTCAGGCTCAGTATTGCTCCAGCTACATTTGAGAGGCTGATGGAACGAGTATTAGAAGGCCTACAATGGAGGTTAGCCATAATGTAACTGGATGATGTCATCGTATTTGCAACAACTTTTGACGAGGAAATGTCCCGGCTGGAGGAAGTATTCAAGTGTTTGAAAGCAGCAAACCTGAAACTCCATCCCAAGAAATGTCATTTGTTTCAGAAAGAGGTGCTTTACTTAGGCCACATTGTTAGTGAGAATGGTGTACCAACTGATCCTGATAAGGTGAAAGCAGTGCATGACTGGTCAACACCAGACAATGTGGGAGAGCTAAGAAGTTTCTTGGGACTCTGTACTTACTACCGCAAATCTGTGAAGGACTTTGCAACTATAGCTGCTCCACTACATGATTTGACTAAAAAAGGCCAGAAGTTTGAATGGACAGTTTCTTGCCAGCATTCTTTAAAGACATTGAAGGAAAAATTGGCTTCTGCTCCACTTTTAAAGCTTCCAGATCCCTCACTACCGTACATGCTGGATTGTGATGCTAGTAATGTCGGAATTGGAGGAGTGTTGTCTCAGAACGTGGGCGAAAATGAACATGTGGTGGCCTACTTCAGTAGGGTGTTGAGTAGACCAGACTGGAACTACTGTGTAACACGTAGAGATCTCCTGGCTAACCTCCTTTCTATACCAGATTTCCTGGGAATCAAGTTCCCAAGCCGACTAGTGTATTCTTTGGCTGGTTCAAATCCTTTCAAAATAGAACACACTTCTTCACGCAGATAAGTTATCTTCTCCGTGCATCTATCTAGGAGATCTGCATGCCACTAGCCTTTAGGCTACTCCCACTTAAATGCACGATATTTCTTGTGATTTAAATTATTTATAATGGCGTTATTATACAGCAAAAGATTTCTACCAATAGCAGAGTGACATCACCTACCTGTACACTACCTCTCTATAATTTTGTACAAATAACACTGCATTATTTCCTTGTCATTCCTTGTTTCGGGTATGTTTTCGGATAAGTTGTCAAAAGCATGTGTCACTAAATTGGGTGGAAAAAAGAGCGGCAAATCCTTGATTGTAGACATGTTGGTTAGTTCAGCTTCTTTCCAATGGTAGGGTAGGGGTACACCAGCCAACACAATTTATCTAGACTGATCCACCTCCGTTACATACCAGATCTTCCAGGAATCAATCTGCAGGAGATGGTATGATGGAGGTTTGAGAACCAACATGTATATTATCTGGCTAGTCCAACTCCTTTCTAAAAGAAGTCCTTATGAAATTTAACCAAAAGGATTTCGTAGGGTGGGATTTCACCAGCCAGTTATAATTTTCTCTGATATATCATGAGGGAATAAGGATCTATGGAATGGGAAAGTATGGAAGCTACACATTCAGGTAGTCCAGACTGTCTCCCAAGGGTTCAGACAGAAACCCCGTGTAAAGACATACTGTAGCCATTGTGGGATGATGATAGGCGTCTGGAGTTGAGAAAAGATGAACTGGGAGAGAGGAAGAGGTAACAGAGATACTGCTTGAAGGAGATTATGAACTGCAAACTACGTTTCAGCTGGCAAGAAAAGTGTATTCAGAAGGACGCAACTTGGAGTTGACTGGACGATGGATAAAACACTGGGAAGAAGACAGGTAGGCATACAGGTAAAGATTGGTCCAATCCTAACTGAAGGTGTCTAACCAACAAACCAAAGGATGTAGTACTGGGGACCAAAATGTGGAAGTTTGTTATTGAAATGGGTAGCAAATATATCAAGATGTGGAGTACCCCATTGATCATATAACCACTGGCACACATGGGAACTGTGGGAACATACTATGAGCAAAATATTTTCAGGATAAGATAATCAATCTGTGACAAGATTCAAAGCATATGTACATTACTAAGTGTGGTTCAAATGATTGGGCCTAGAACAACACTTTTAACATTCTAAAACAAGGTGAATGTGAATGAGTGCCATCTTGTTTAATGATGTACGAGACAGAAGTTCATATGCCAGAACATATCAAGACCAATTTCTCTCGTAATAAAGGTAGTAAATAATTCAATTCCCACCAGATGGCAAGAAGCTCTAAGATGGGAGTATCTGTAAAAAGATGCAGCACGGGTCGTGAAGGTAAAAGAAACATGCCCGTCATTGTGTTCTCTCTGTTCAGCCACCATATGAAATCTACTGGAGGAAAGGGCGGGAGATGTCCATAGAATCCAGAGCAAGGTTGCATTGACCATGCCACGTTCACTGAAAGATGTGAACATGAGCATGCCACAAGGGTATACGGGCTTCCATAGTACATGACCATAAAAGAGAAAATGCCTCACCTGCACACAAAGTAGGAGGGTATCAATCTTAAACAAAGAGAAAATTTGGTTCAATTGAGGAAGGAGTAGAAAAATACTCCTGGGTAGAAGAGGTACTGTGTGAAGATAAGGAAGTTGCTTTTCATAGAAGGAAATTGGTGTATTCGTGAGCTGATGGTTGGGATGGACCTAATAACAACAAGTCCTCCTTTTCCTAATAGACCCATAGACCTGGAATAAAAGCTCAGTGTGAAGAAGGTCAATGAAACTGTTGAGACGAGACAGATCTATAACCAAATGCCAGTCCTTGGAATAATATCCTGGAAAAATATGATTGGCAAGTTATAATGCG